GAACCGATGTGTTGTCATCATAAACTCCCAGTCAGTCTATTTGGTTTGAAATCTCCTTCAATTTAGTTAATATGGGACATGGAAAATCAGGTGCACATACTTGAGAACAGAAACCTCTTTATTTTGAAAAATATATATAGGCCTATTTTTTTGTATTTTTCTTTTTAATGTAGCAGCCTATTTAAAACCTGCATACACGCATACCCATATGATCAAAACATTTCTTCAGTCTTTGTCAGAAATGACCTCAACTTTATTACAACCCATTTATTACTACCTGTCAGAACACCCATCAAACACCTGCTTTCAAATAGTTTCCCGCTTGTGCTCTGGATGAATAAATGGGTGGGACATTTTTTCAGAACAGGTTTGCACATTGTAGAAGCCCCCCTATGTTGACATAGCAAGATACAAAGAACGTCCTGCCCAGAAAGTAATGGTTTGCAGGTTTTATTTTCATTGGATGTCGTTACATGAGGTAATGGCAGTAACAGTGTGTATTTAGCTGTCAGGTTATTATATTTTGAAGTTCTCTTTTAATCTCTTTATATTTCTACCACAGCATCTTTATTTAATCTAGAGGTTTAAAGAGATCTAAAGCCTTTAGAAAAGGTCACTCACGCAAATAATTTTAGACATCTATATATAAAGACTACTAAAGAGATTTTGTCAAATAAAATGATTGCAACCAGTGCAAATACCTTTTATGCTTCCATATATGTTATTATTATGTAGAATTATTTAAGTATTCCGGAAATCTTAAAAGTTATTTTACCCCTTTCAACATCTGCTTTGCTTTTTATCTTTCCATTTTAAATTTTATAACATTAAAGACACTTTAAAGCATACTTGAACATAACTGTACTTCACATTTTTAGAGATATGGAGCTAGTACGCGATCAAAGGTGCGTTTTTAAAATAAATCTCTAATACTCACCAAGGCTGCATTTACCTATTTGATTAAAAATACAGTAATATTGTGAAATGTCACTACAACTTAAAAATGCTAACTATTTTTTATTTTAATATTTTATATATTTTATAATGTAATTTATAATGATGGCAAAGCTGAATTTTTAGCAGTCACTACTCCAGTCTTCACATTATCATTCAGAAATCATCATTTCTTCATACATATATGTATACATTATATGTGTGTGTGTGTGTGTGTGTGTGTGTGTATACACAGCATTTACCTCATGTAACAGTTTAGTTTGCATCAAGTCTGGAGTAGCATATTTCCATAGCTTGTTTTCCAACAACTGCAGAGAAAGAATCTATTTGTTTTTCTAAGTTTACACAGTTCCCCATGCACAGTTTACTCAATGAAAATAAACCTACATCAAGCTTTCATTCCAGTTATTTACTGGACGATGCATGACAGATTAACCCAAGAAGCCCTAAATAGTCCAAAATATTAGCTCACACAGTGTGGCATGTTGGTCTTTTCTGCATTCTTTTCCCCTCTGTTATCCGGAGGGTGCTATGCTATGATATTAATTACCATAGGAATCTAATAACACAGAAGACAGAGAGAGATGACCTATTGACCTATTAACAGCAACAGTGTATTGCTCCATTTTGTTTAATTTATTGGGCCCAGGTTAAAGCCTTATGGAATGTGCTGAGATGCAATCATTGTCATCAGGTCATGTGGGCATAGATCAGCATGATCGAGTCTGAGCAATAATTCCAAAAGCCAGGCAAAATAAATGCAGCAACAGGGTCATGCTGGCACTCTTTGCATCTTTCATTTTCCTTTTAGAACCCTCCACCCCACCTCTTCCTGAAGCATACACACACATACACATATGTTTGAATAACATCTATGTCACTTGCTGTCTAATTCTTGCTGACCCTACTTCCATATGATCAAACATGACTCCTTGTACCAAATACAACTGCTATCAGAGGCTGAAAGACTGGAAAACTTTAATGAGAGACCACCCAAAGACTTCAAATAAGTCCTCTCTATGTGCCCCATCGCTATCATACTAAATGGGTTTTGTGAATATCACCTTTCCTTGCTGCTCAGTTTGCCTTAGCCTGTTAATAGCACAAATGTAGATGTCACTAGATGTTAGTATGCACATTGATTTTTTGTCATTCTTGGACTCTGATCAAGGATTAGTTTCAAAGGGCTTATTTTGATCTAAATGTAAATGATCTAATAGACGTCATTTACAGATCTTCATGCGAATGAGGTCACGGTCACAGCACATATTGAACTCTACTCAAAAATGTCTCACCAGACACACATCATCAGTTACCAGAAATGATGTCACCAACAATGCCCTTATTTGGGTAGAACAAATGCATGACAATAAGTGCATCGTCTCTTTGAAAGTCTATGTCTTAATTATTAGACTAAAGATGCCTGATGTTTAAGAGTGTCGACAATAATGAAAAAGAAAAGAAGTGCTATTCACGTGCTATTCAATTAATTTTGAAAAACTTGTATACATATATATACCATTTTCAAGAAAAGTTTCAAATAGATGACTTTACATAGTGTCATCTGGTACAACCAAGTTAATATAGGCCTAACACCATATTTTTTCCCTGCATGTTGTTCATACTATGACTTTAATTTGACGGGTAAAGTTTTTCTGATATTACGGTAATAAGCAGTGAATCAGTTTTATAATATTTTTGCATTTTGCATAAAAGATTAAAAGATTATTACTCCAGAATCATAACAATTGTGTGAAACTACCAATTATTTTAAATAATTTTTTTAAATGATTTTTTACATTTTACATCATCAGGACAGTTGAATCACCTTGATACTGTTGGCTCTTAAAATATATCACAATTAATTTTAATTCAGAAATGAATGCTCATCATCATAGATGGTACGTTTAAGCCACCGTATGTATGAATTATGAATTTTCCATTTTTTTATTTATTATTTTTTAAATTGATAATAGGACAAAAAATATAAGTATCATGCAACCCTATGAGAAAAAAAAAAATTACATAAAAAGAAAGAACACAAGTAACTTCAATTCAGTTTCTGGATAGTAGGAAGCTCAGTAGTAGCTTCTCATTCGTAATTCAAGAGGTTTTATTCCCATTAGCTACAAACCCTAGTAACTCCAGAGATTACTCCATTTAAGGTTCAGAACAGAAGGTCCATTCTGAATAGATCCGCTGTGTATGGAGAACAGCCAAGGGGATGGACCTTCAAAGCGGCCTGCATAACCCTCAATCCCCCTGCTCATTACAATTAGATGAGTTTCGCTGTGCATGGTTGCCATTTTAATAATCTTATTTTACTTCGGGAAAATAAAACAGATAGACATCGGAAAGAAAAACAGCCCCATGTCACAAATATTTCAACTCACTGCTTTGCTGCTCAGCAGATAATGGTTTCCAAATGTTTAATATTAGATGCAATCACACTGAAGAAAAGGTACAGCTTTTCTTTGAAAACTGAGACGCTTGATGGAAGAGAGGGGAAAAAAGTTATAAATCTTAGCTTGGACAAAATAATCCGGTTGCTTTATGAATCTTCACAGCTTTTCTACGCAATTGCATGCTCACAGTAATGTGTTTGATTTCTCAAAATTTGTTTCCATTCCTTCATAATTCATTCCATCAAAAAGCTCTTATGAAAGCAGCAGGGACAGCCCTCCCTCCTCCATCCCCACCAGTCAGCATCCCAGCATGTGAGCTCATATTAGAGTCTGCAGGAGTGCGTCTTTACCTGGGCTTTGATCGCAGCCTGCCGCTTGTGTGTGTCAGAGAGCTGACGTCACTGGAGGAAATGAGGGATGAACTCTGGGTCTGGAGAGTCAACCCGGCCCATCGCTTCAAACGAGGAATGTCATACTCTTCCTGTCCTCCACTGATATAACATAAATGAACAGAAACAGGTCAGGATGCAAAACCCCTGGCTTATAAAATTGCTACCATTCTCTGTCTGGTCTTCATAGACCTGAAACAGCAGCATGTTGGGTCTGGATATTAGAAAGAAAGGGCATTCAGTCAACAGTGATCAACTGACTGTTATGGACATTAAAAAGTAAAAGGATTTAAAAGTAAAAGACAATTATTAAACATTTATTAAAATGATTCATATAAAACAAAATATTCATATTCATATTTGTTAGTAATTAATTCCAATTTACTTTCATTAAAAATGTATATATTTTTTGTCTATTTACAACATTATAAAATATAAGAGTGCAGCTCCTTTGTTGAAATTTGTATTTTTAGAATCACCATATCCTGTGGCCTTATTTATTTATTATTATTTTTTATTATCATTATTCTTCGTTTTTAGGGATTGTTTTTAAATACAGTAACTTTCTTTAATTGTTGTTGTCTGTTGCAACACAAATTAGCTAATGCAACAAAATTCCTAAACATTGTAAAATGGAAAGCAATTAATTTGTGTTGGGACTACAAACATAATTCCCAACATACTTTTCAAGGATTTTGAAATGAAATGCTGAAATTATGCGTTTTTGAGCAAGGCAGTAGCCTAGTTATTTTCCAATGTTATCAAAGATAACAAGGATTTCTTATGCTATCATTTTGGGGGTTTCCATTGTGACAACGAATAGAGATGGTGTTTAGGCTGAGTAGGCATTTTGGGACTAACAAAATTATGTGGGAAATTGAGTTACTCAAAAAATAGTTAGCAAATATTGCACTAGTGATTGATTTTCTTATATGTGTTTTCTGTAAAAAAAAAAAAAAAAAAGCCCATTTCCACACATTTAAGCACAAGATCCCCCCAACAGTCCTGTATTGAACCAGCAGGTGGCGCCAAACACACCGTTAAGCAGCACATGTCCTCAGACTTTGTGGGAACTTCTTGAGAGGACTGAAGAAAGTCAAACTCCAAACAAGAGCGAGAGAAGGAGAGAGCAGAGCAGAGGACCATCCGCCTACAACATTACACCTCTGCGGACACCCGAAGCTTAGTGAAGTCCAGAAGAGCTCTGCATTCTCCAGCTACAACACTGACCTGTGAGAAGAACTTGCGGTGGATGTAAGAGCGCTCAGAGGCAGAAGAAATGAGCAGAGGAACAGTGAAAGAGCCGCACGGATGCCAGCGCAACTTCACACTGATCATCGTGTTGCTCGTAGTCAACTGCGGTAGGCGATCGAAGTCATGCATAATGACTAATAATCGACTTAATCGAAATTGAGCCTCATCTGTCTAGTTCACAGGAAGTTCTGAGCAGTCGAAAATTTTTCTGTTATTATTAGAAATTATTTGAGGAAACAGTGTCTCAAATTACAATGCCCACGTTACATCACAAATGTACAATATTCAATATAAGTAAATTAAATGTTGTTTATTTTTGTTTTTGTAGCCTATATGGGCTGTAATAGGTACACTGTTATTTAAAGTGACATTTTGTTGATATTTAAATACGTTATTCATGTATGTAATTTTACTCAAACTTCATGTTGAACAACTAGTTAGAGGTGTCATTTCATTCAGTAGTCCTCAGGTTTTTTGTTTACCTATTGACTCATGTTGCCAAAGGGCTGTCTAAACAGTTTTTGTGTCATTGGAATGACAATAGAGCTCTTAAAGTGCACTGATTGAGAGAGTAACAGTCTTAAGTTCTCAGCTGGAGTCTCTTTGTATGGTCTGAGCTGCTTCATTTGCCTTAGAATAGCGCTTTGACATAAGATAGCATCCAATTATGCTGAGCAAAGGGCTTAAAAAGGCACATTAACTTCTGTGAGCTTTTCATTATTTCCTAGTTTACAAGGATGAGACATGAGTTTAAATACCAAAGACTGACTTGAATGTAACCGTACACTTTTGAGCAACTCTATATTTTTGAGTGTGTATTTTACATGAGTGGATCTTACTATTATTGATTACTGCAATAGTTAAAACAATAACAGTATGTAAGTACAGGAAGCTTTGCAAAATAATTATAAAGTACATGAAGTTCATAATTATCAGTGTACCCATATATACACTGCAACATGGACACATTAAAATAAACGGCTTTAGTTCCAGGTCATATTATAATAATAACAAATTGTTATAGTAATGACCATACAGATAGATGTACAAAGGCAGTATTTCATATTGAAATTTGAGGCTCAGTGACGTGCATTATTTTATCAGTTTACTATCATTGCATTGATAATACAGAGATATTTTTAGATATTCTGCCCAGGATTAATCCAAGGGGGGGAAAAAGTGTATATATATATATATATATATAT